GTGATCGGCGCGATTCTGAAGGCGAAGTGATCGTTGGCACTAGATGTGATAGTTCCAGCATCTCAGAAACAGCGACCCTCCTGGGATGTTCATTCACTAGTGTCTAGAGTTGGCAGAAAATGGTGTGATTATTAAAAAAAAAACACCCAGTCAGTGGTAGTTCTGTAGGTGAAAACACCATGTTGCTGAAACAGATTGGAGGGGAATGCCCAGACCCATTAAAGCAAAGGCACTAGTGTAAAAATAACAGCTAAATACAAAGGCTTCTCTAAACGTTAAATTGATGTACCTCTGAAGTGGTTCTGGTAATAAAAGTGCGTCCTAACTGACACTAGCTAGGACTACTGCTGTACGCAGGACAGCTATGGTGTTTCATCCGAAAAGCCAGGCTCTTCAGCACTGACCCAGAAGCACCTACCAAATGGACCTCTAACAATTAATCCATCCGCTTGCTGAGTTTGCCCCTTCCTGAGTGCAAGCCCATGCTCTCCACCAGCACCCCCCCCCCCCCAAACACAAGTGGGGAAATGTCACGGCAAAATGTCAGTGCTGGCTGAAAGGAACGGCTCCGGCGAGACTGTGCAAACACCGCACCCCCGTGACCAAAATGCAGCCCAGCCGCAAGCGAACCTAGCTGTGAGTCAAGTAGGGCACTCCAGTGTTTCCAGAAGATTCCAGGAGAGGGTCAACATCACGACAGGACCGGGGGTCACCCTCTGTGGCGGCACCCCTCCCCCCAGTTCAAAGGCGAGTGTGCGGCCACACGGCCCCTCCCACTGCCCACGGCAGGAACCAGCGGTCAGGCGGACAGAGGGACATTCCAGCCCCTGGGCAGGCATGAGCAGAATTACAATTAGACTGTTTCCACAGCACTGCAAGCCATTGTCATCAATTTCCTCAATTATGTGAGAAAAGACAGTGTGAGATTTGGCCAGGCTTGTTTTTGGGTGTGTGGACCCGCACATATAAATCCGGACTAAAGGCTCTGATAATTCAGTTACGACTCCTTACTTCTAGCAACTCTACTGCAAAAAAAATAAACTTACACTACCAGTCAAACGTTTTTTGCACACACTGAGATTTTCTACATTTGCCACTTGTCACTTGACATTTACTAAAAATACACTCATTGTTCTTTGCCAACAAATACATTTACAGTATGTTCACCATTTGAGTACCTTTATTAGCAACAGAATGTCATGTTTTTGATTCATCAAAGTAACCTCCTCTAGCAGTTATAAAAGCAAAATTTCAGGCATCCATTCTACAAGGAACATTACTGCTGTTTCGTGGGATGAAACCCTTAATTAGTGCATTTAAAGTTAAAGGACAGCCTAGAATTACACCACACAACCAGACATGCACTGTTACATACTCTTTCCATGTTATAAAGGAAACTTGTTTTATTTGAATTATATTTTCATTTATAGTTGTTCGCCGAACTTTCCAACGCTTAACAATAATTAAAAATCTGCAGTTTTTTCAATAAATGGAAAAGTGGTGAAAAAAATTTGACTGGTACTGTACATATAAAAAAACCACTGTCTGAACATTCTGTGTGAGGCACATTCACCTTGGTCCTCTCATGTAGCGTGACATGAGACGAGTCACCTGTTAGAGAAAGACAAGCTAGAAGTGGCAAGAAAGGCTTGATCAGACCCTGACTCCACATAGATTAAAAAACTCTAATATGAGAGCCGAGATGAAAATTATGAACAGATTTATGCTATCGACCTAAAATGACTTACGTAACCATCACTGTACTGGGAGTCTGAGCGCAGGGTCCCCCTGGGGGCAGGAAGTGACACAAGCAGCTCACCAATGTGTAAATTTTGACTGATAAATTTTAGATCAATATTGTTAATACTGACACAGGGGGGCGCCAGTGGTGAAAGTTGCTCAGCTTTGCGGAGTTAGCGGAATGACGTTACGTAATTTCATATTTTTTTATTCTGTGGAAAATGGAAAAAAAAAATGGTCTGTGGACGAGATTTGATAAACTTGTTACGGATTGCATACAACCATCTCGGGCCAGTACTGGGGGAGGGGGGGGGGATGCAGTAGCATGCCTTATTATTTTACATTGGAAGTTGATACCCTCTTTTACTTTGTTGAATTAACCGATAAAATCGCTCATCCTCCATCACAGAAGACATCTTTTCATCCAATATGATCATCTCCATTTTAATAGTAGCTATGTCTAGCTCTTTGAATATTAATGAAGTTTAAATATCGGCCGGTAATACCAGCCAAGACTGACATGTCGGACCGATGCCCATCCACCAATACCGATATGTTAAATGATATATCGTGCATCTCTAACATCATGTAGCCACCATAAAAGGAGTCGACTGACGAGGAAATTCACTGAAGTTCCACCGTTCATGTGATTATTGTAATAGAACTCTACACAAAGGCATGTTGATTGGATTCCCTTTATTAATAAAATTAGCTGTTTCAAATTTTCATCTCCAGGCAGAAGGATCGGAACCGGTAACCGGCATTTTGCAGAATCTTCGGCAAGCATGTGGCCATTATCGTGAATATTCTTCACAAAGCACCAAGAAAACTAAGGGAACCAAGCAGTAGAAACTAAAGAGAAACACTACAAATCAATCTCATTATAACAAACTGAACACCTTAATAAGACAGGATTACATGCAATGCATCCCAATATCGTCAGAAAATGACTGCTCACACTCTTGAAACACATATCAGAAAATATATGAAACAAAAAGGCCACTTTGCATTACAAAGCAACTTTCTGCGCACAAATGAATTTACCTAATAATGAAGAAAACAACAACTTTTGGACAAATTGCCATATTTTTCCTTATCTGAACGTCTACTTCCTGTCAAATTAATCCACCCCACTTCCACACATTACCACTATTTATGAAAAAGAGCATTACAAGGAAAGGAAGTGATGTCACACTAGGTCTCTTCAGCAGAAAGGACTTTTACTATTACAGTAACATCATCCACCCTCTTTCTGTAACCACATGTCCTGTTCAGGGTCGTGGGAGGGTCTGGAGCCTGTCCTGCAGGCCACAGGCGCAAGGCACAGAACAACCCAAGATGGGGCACCAACCCATTGCACTCACACACACTCAAACTCCACACACATGAAGCCCTGGCGGAGCCTTAATCCCCCGTCCCAGAGGTGTGAGACAACAGTGCTAACTACTGCACTACAGTGCCACCCCAGTAGCCTCATAATCAAAGAATTCCTGAAATTAGCAAAGCCATAACTCTCCCCTTGGGGGCTATTGATGTCACAATTATTAACGAACAGTTTCAATATTTGGTGTTGGAGATGCACTATGTTCCTAGGCTATGATATAAACATTCCAGCAGTTGGCAACAAAAACTTAGTGGTTTGATTTGTTCCAGGAAAGCACCCACTATATGCTTTTGTCCTGGAGTATAATCTGCAAATACTGCACTATTTATTTTTTTTAAATAATCCTTTTCCCAAATAAAAATCAAGAAGGCAATAAAATAACAGAAGACACACAAACTACATTCTGAATATTAAACCTGACATTGGGAAAAAAAAATATATATAGCATAAAGCATTTGAACAACATTTATGCACCGCCTTGATGAAACTGTACATCCTGTAGATTAAAAGTCAGAGAAATACATCAGACACATGCATTAAATATACCACGTCAGCAATGCTATACTGTAAGCGCTACACTCATGGTGCAGCAGGACTGTTGGTTCAGAGTCCTGAGCCACTTTTAGACTCGGAATCATTCTGCTCTTGACCTCTGCTCCACCATCACACGTTACAGTTCGCCTGACAGCATAGACGGCGTGTTTGACAGCGTGATCTCCCTGCTGATTCTATCTCTGTGTTCACACCCCAATGAGAGGTAAAACAGAACGCGTCAGGAATTTCTTAAAAGTACATTTTGACTTTTTTGAGGCCAGGGGTGTTTTTCCAATGTTTTTAAATATGCTACAGGAACCATCTAGTTACTGATTTCTCAGGAATGTTGATTACAGAAACGAGTTTGCCTTAATGAATGTATGTATTGTGTCAGTATGATTAAATAACATAAGGCCTTATTATTAACTGGTGTTAGACCGTATATTTTGAAGTGTAGATTGTTTTACTAAATTCTTTAGTCTATATGCATAACAGGTTAACTTTTTTACCCATTCAATAAATCTCGGGAAAAATGTGTCAGACTACCAAACAGAAAAAAATACATACTGTATAACAAAATAGCATGTAGCTATTGCCTTCTTTGTGCACGGACCTAGAGCAGGTAGTGGTCTACAAGAGACAACCCCGCACCTTCGGTCTGTAACAGAGGGAATGCGGTTTATCCAGATGTAGAACACTGCCTTCCTGCATTGTGTAAGGAAGAGGGGATCAGACCTTGGTCAATTAGCCATCCCCATAAAAATGTAAGCAGAGAAATGTCTACTTACTAACCTTAATCCAGTGATTTAAAAATCCTCAAACCACCAAAACTATATCCTAAACCGTACAAATGACTGTTCAAGAGACCGGTAAGGAATAAAAGTATCAGAGATAGAGAAGTAATCGGTGAAGACTTAAAAATGTAACACATTAATACTGTTTTCCATCTGAAACAGACGTAATCCCCCAATTCCCATGTCGCTATCCGAGTGGGAGAATCACCGAGCATAACGACTACAGTGCATCGGCTTCTGCTTTCGTGCGGCACCACTAGCCACGACCAGCTTTAACTCCACAAACTTTATGCAAGTGACACTTAACTGGCAGAAAAAAACTCTAAAATATTACCTACAGTTTATAATAAATCTTTCTCTGGATCCCGATCTACCTTAATGCAACTATTTATTACAGCCCTTCATGTTAATAGAGTTTACCGAAGACTAACCAGTCTGAGCCATATTTAGACCGGAGATAAATGACAACTGGGGGAATGTGAGCGTCTCCGCTTAACTCGTATAGTATCACCATGTAAAACATTAATAAAAGAAAGAGTTATAATTACTTGATGAAATAGCTGGCCCCCTCGTCTGTGAATCCTTCTTCCCATCCTCGCGGTAGATCTGTAATGGGAAGGTAAGTTAATCAGCGAAAGTATCCACGTGTATTGTATTAGTATATAACTAATCATGAGCGCAAAAAGAAAAAAACGGGAGGGAGATTTCATTAAGCTGCAGGTGCATATGTGTTATTCGGGGATACCTGATCGCATCATATGTCCGGAGTTGACAGGTTCACCAGTTCGGGGATGGAGCCAAGTGGTGCGATGAGTTTCATCACTGGAAAAAAACAAAACAATATAGAACACCTGCTCCCGAAGCAATAAACTTAACTAAAAGTACCCAAAGAAGCATGAGCGGCCAGCACAGCAGCAACCCATCAACAAGATACTCACTTGATAAAAAAGACCCGGCCATCTTTGCAGACCCCGTAAGAACAGTATGCAGGCAGCGCGTCCCGGCCGAGCGGAGCCGCCATGATCCTGATTTGAAGCCTTATTTCATGCTGCGCTCCGGGGGCATGCAACAGATCCAACCACCACCACAAGGGCAATCCCGCGTTAAAGGGGATGACGGCAAGTCGTTAGCCGACAGGAAAGACGAAGAATATGCCGCCAAAGACAAAGTTGCCAACTCTCACGCATCTGGCGCGACTCTCAAGCTTTCAATATATCTCGGCAAAGATATATTATTCCATTATAAACCTAAAATTAGCTACATCAAAAGTATTGGGGCAGTTTGCAAACCTTACGGCATTCACAGGGTAATAAAACTTTTACATACATGTAAATGTGTGTGCAGACTTGTCTCGAATTGAAAGTCTCATGACAGCCAGCTGACCAAAGTTGTCAGCCCTGAGAAGAGGTTCTGTAATGTTTCTGCTGAACCGAAAGCATATGAAGCGCTACATAGTGGCCCGATTTATTATTAAAGAATTGCTGCAGTTGACTGAACACCTGGAATGTCCCCTTACCTGAGAAGTTTCTTTACACACACACACCCCTTAGCTTTCGTAAAAGGAAACGATGCGTTAAAAGTAAGCAGTTGTGGATGAATGGAAATATTAAAAATAATCGCACATCGGCATTAACCAGGAGGGCCGGTAGTTTGTCCAGTGTCGGGTACTGGGAGATCGCCATCTTCAGCTGGATCCCAATCTGATTCATCCAGAGCCTTTGGAACTGCAGAATGAAGACTCACCTTATGCTTAAAGTTAAAATGAAATACTTGTGTATTTCAAACAAAAACCAACAGAAATTAATATACAGCATTAGATCCAATAGTGCCATTGGCTGGATTGTGTATTTAAAATTTAAGGCGAATTCTTGGAAAGTAGTGATCTCATGCAGTTTGATTTGAGATGTCAAAACTCAGATGAAAAGCTATGCTTTCCCATTTATTGAAATTTATTTTCCCATTTTGAAAGATACTACAACTAAATTTTGACCAAGGTGCTTCATATTCAGTATTTGTTTGAAAACACCAGGTCCTGTTTGAATGCAGGAGGAATCCTCTCTCAGGTCTACACAGTCGGCAGTAAGTTTATTGCAGGAAGCAGTCAGCCATCAAACTGTTAAAATGCTATTATAATGTCATCCGATGACATCGTTTATTACTTCGAGGATCTAATTTCTTAATTAACTGGTTAGTCAAGTATTTCATGTAGAATTCCTATTGCTGAATTTTAGGTTGAGTCTTAGATAATTTACTAGACATATCTGTATGGGGGAGATGGTATCAGTCATGCCTTCGTCTTAACCTGCTCCTGGTGAGTCAAGCCATTTAAGTACCGGTGTCCATGTCTGCATGTCACTGCTCTGTCTCACTAGACCACCTACTTCAGACCTTACAAAGAGAAAAGTAAACAGCATATCTGTGGCATCATGTGACAGTGAGGTGTGGCGTTTCTACATGCATCCCGTCCCTCTACGTCATGTAATCTCACTCTACCGCCTTTGTGTTTTTATTGTTTTTGTTTTTTTTTTTTTACCACGTGCTTTTTGAACATTACGCAAGGCTGGACAAAGATGAGCATGAGCCCTAAGGACTCGGTCGTCGTCGGGTATATATGATCCTGAAATAAGAGGATGAGTCACAAATGATTCCCTGGCCTTTCTAATGGTGTACACTTCAATAAGACTAAATGAGATCCCAGACTAATAATGACACTTACAATTTCCAGAGGACCTAATGCGTGACCTAATGCATGCATATGAGAATTAAAAACGCAAAGCACATGCGTTGGAAAAACAATAACATAACAAAAAGTAAGTTTCACAGTTAACAGATAGCCCACTGTTTAACTGTGTGGTATTTGTACTCAAAGAGAGCATGGAAATCATGACTTATATAGGTAGTGGGGTGACCTTTGTCTGAAAGTCGCAGTGCCTTTAAGAAAGATCTGTATAATGGACTGCCAAGAAAATATCATACTTACCCATCTACTATCTGTCAATTTTAATGCATTGTGGAAGCATCTTTCTTTAATTGTCTTCTAGATTTTGTAGGACGGCACTTTGGCCCCCACACAAACTGCAGTGTAGTAAAGTGCGTATGCATTGGATTGGGACGATTTTAGAGCAGCCATGTGAGTGAGCCAAATAATTTCAGTCCAGTCGAATTGCATCAATGTTCATTATCTGGACAGGCTGATGGTCGATGTCATTATTGTAATAGTGTTATTAGTATATTTGTTATTCACAATAAGGGGCAAAGCTCTGAGTGGGCTACTCTTCAAGAAGACATCAATATTAAGTATACAACCATTCCATTAATATTTGATTTTCCCGTCCCTTTGGAGAAAAAAGATAAATTAATGCAGCTCCCTGTGCAGCCTGAAAGAGTTTTAACATTCTGGTGTTCTGCCTTGTGCAGCTGCTCTGCTAGGGCCTTGCTTTGGTGTGGACGTCCTGCAGTTTCCAGCCCAAACCAGCTCTGCTCTCTAGCTGAAATACATATGGACAATAATATTGGGACACCTGGCCATTACACCTACAGGAACTTTTATGACACCCCATTGTAAATCCATAGGCATCATTATGGAGCTGGTTCCCCCTTTGCAGCTATAACAGCTGCCACTCTTCTGGGAAGGCTTTCCACAAGATTCTGGAGTACGTCTGTGGGAATTTTTGCCCATTAATCCAGAAGAGCCTTTGTGAGGTCAGGCACTGATGTTGGACATGAAGGTCTGGCTTACAATCTCTGTTCTATAGTTCATCCCAAAGGTGTTTGATGGGGTTGAGGTCAGAGCTCTACACAGGCCAGTCAAATTCTTCCACATCAAACTCACCCAACCATGCTTGTATTCACTGGGCTCTTCAGAGCGGCACATTCTTTCACAGATGTTTGTAAACCCAACTGCCTGACTAGGTGCTTGATTTTATAGACCTGCGACAATCTGTCTGAATGTAGTACCTGAATTCAACGATTAAGAGGTGTGTCCCAATACTTTTGTCCATATGGTGTGCATGTCTGCCATCAAACCCCTGATCTTCTGTAGGTAAAGGGAACAAACATTATCTGTCCTCAGCTCAGCTCTTAGGAACCTGAAAGCAAATTGTTTGCAGTCTTTGGCGTGACGCTAATATTGGGACAAGCTGATGGGATACTAGTGGCTTCCATAGGCACGTGCTTTATTTTAGGTAAGTAATCCATTTTCCTTTATGTGCATGCAGTGGTTGTTCAAGAATAATGAACAGCTTAAGACATCATAATGCATTTACAGGAAATTTTATATTTGTTCTTCTATTCTTCCAGTTCCTGGTGTTTTCCATTAAAAAACTGGGAATGAGACTATAATAGAGGTGAACATATGTGCCACCATGCAGCTAGTCTCGCAACAACAGCGAAACCCCAATTATCATATTTATTCTTATTTTATCCTCAGAAGAAGCTGAAACAGGAGGCTCCCTCTGATCGTTTATTATGTCTTATTTATCGTGATGCCAATTAACGCACAGCTGGATCTGAGCGATGTGCGGTCAGAGGGATGCTTGGCTGAACACATGGAGCAGACCCCCCCCCCACCTCTGCCCCCCACTACCCCCTCTGACAATCTGACAGCGGGCTCTCTGCGTGGAAACGCAGCACCAACGAGTCACTCATAAATCAGATGCAGCTCAGTTTCGGATTCGCTACCCAGACTGAGCCATGGTATTAATGTAGCTGCTACAACAGCAGCGCTGGACGCGTTTGACATCACCCTGCACAGCAGATCCCCGTGACCTGCTGCGCTTATCGTCTCTGTATACATAAACCCACCCCCTTATTTATCATTTTGCAATGTGGTGAACTTTAGACCGAAGCCTTTCCGGACAATGAATTTACTGCGTGTATGGGCTTTTCACACCACAATGTTACACCATTTGCTGATGTTCTAAAAACCAGCTTCATTTTAATATTCAAGCCATTCAGATTTTCTGTTTCCCTCTTAGAAGCTGATTTGCATGCGTGACGGTCTTTCTGCCGTGGCTGTACCCCGATCGTTTTATTTACTTTTACAGCACATGCCCTTAGTAGGTCAACCAAAGCATGCGGTCCATTATTCTTTACGTGTGTTTGTGTTACAGCACATTCATAAGGGCTAGAGATCTGCAATCCAACAGAAAAAAGGAAAATAGTTGTAAGCTTCTTTTGGGAGGGGTGCTTTAAATTACTGGAGCATGCTATTGATTAAATAGCATTCCAAAAAAAAAAAAAAGTTTCTCAAATAAAATCTATACTGTGTGAATTTAGGATGATCCATCCATCCATCCATGACAGCCAATGGCCTGGAGCCTGTCCCCGGAAGGTGGGTAGACTCTGGACAGGACAGCAGTTCATTGCAGGGAACACGCAACACACATACACACACACACAGAGTAAGCCAATCCTGAGGATGAGAGGTCAACGGATTACCCAATGAGCCACTCAGGCTCAAATGTAGTAACTCAGTCACATAACAACAGAGTTTAATTCTTCCCTTGCTACATGCATATAAATCCACACATTAAAATCTGTTTTGATGCCAATCACAGCAGGACTGTGAGCGCTTTATTTTGCTGGTATGTCAGATTCCCCTGTCATGGGCACAGAGTGTCACAGAGCCAAACATCTAAAGATCAGACCGATGGAAGGCGTAACCCCCGTGCCGTCTTATCAGGCTAAAGTAAACAGCAGGCCGGCAGGATGGCCTTGAGTGCAGAGCGGGAGGGGAGGCCTGACACAGCCAGGTCCTGGCGAGGCCTGAGTCCAAACGTTGTCCTTGACTGTCGCTCTTCCTGCTGCCACCTCCAGCCCTAAGGGTGATCCAGGCTAAAGCAGCTCAGGTGGGACCGCGAACCTGCTGAGTATCCGAATCCGGTGCTGCTGACTGACCTACCCGCACTGTAGATACAGCCAAATGGCATGAACATACTGTATGGGGCCTTGCCGAATTCCTGCCTATCACCTGGCTCAGTGACGGTCGGTGGTTCCAGCTTGTATGGGGCCCTGGATGGCGCCCTGGATGGCGCCCTGGGTGACCCCCCCGAAATCATTGACCTGACATGCAAATACGTGATTAAAAAAAACAATTGCGTAATTGTCCCATGCACCCCCAGCAAAATGCACCCTGGGCGGTAGCCCATGTCGCATATACTGAAATCCACATCAACCAGTGACAAACCCAAAACCCACACATGGGTGTAAATTAATGGGGGGGGGGTGGGAATTGTAACCCTATAGTGAAAGTCAGTCAATGCAACCACCTCAACCCCCTCAGTGCTCAACCCAAAGTTATACCCTTCTTCTCACACACACTCACTCCCAGTGAACCTGTACTGAATGCTATGTAGACTCAGAGTACATAATGGCGACAGCAAGGTTCCGGAATATCTCTCTAAACAAGTGACACAAAGTCCTATTTTTGCTTAATTACACACTAACCAACGAGTTTAAGAAAGGAACATATAGATTTATGACTGGAAAAACTACTTTATTATCTGTAGTACACATATTGTCACTGTCTTTGTCTGTCTCGTACGAAATGATGCAAAACCAATATGTACACAAGCACTGAATAATCATCATCGTTCATCATGACTCCCCTTCATCGCCATGTGACCCTTAGGAAATTCTGTGCTGACCCTTTTATCACTATTTTAGCCAGGAATGAGCTTCTCTGCACAGCCCCAGACAAACACATCCATATCAGCATAGTCCTTATAAAACCTGTTCTTCCAGTGTTCAGACTGATCCAGATACCTATTGGCAGCTCTGCCTTTCTTACTAGTTCTACATAATTAGCTCTGCCTTTCTTAATTGCTCTGCATAATTTAAGTGAATTAAAATAAAATACCTATTTCACCAGATCTTATGTCTTGGAAAAAAATATTCCGTGCAACTATGTATTTTTTACTGTGTGAAACCTATCGACTGACTTTGTGGCACGATCCGGTTCCTGTGCTTAATAGATAAAATCGCCTTGGTTTCCATGGCAGCCATACAGCAACAAAGCAGAGGGCTGTACAAAGACGTTATTCAGCTTTAAGATGAGAGACAATACTCATGAGTCGAAAAATAAGCCTCTTATTATATCCAAACATCAGTTTTACAAAACAAAGTTAAACGAGTTTTCTTTATTCAAGCAACAAGTTATACAATCAATCTGCAATATCAGTCAAGTACTGACCTCTTGTGGTTAAAATAGTCAATTGCAAGTTCTAAGTTTGACGCTTATCTGGTGAGTTGTGAGCGACAAACATGCTCTCCTGTGCTGTGACCTTGCGGTGTAGTTAATCTTTTTCAATAAAATATTAAAACTTTACTGCACTATTTCTAACCCTTTAAATGAAAATGTTACTTGCACTGAATTTCCAATTCCATTATATTAGTTATAGTACTTATACTTATTATAGTACTTATTAACTACTACATATTTAATAACATCATTTTTATGCACCAAAAAAGATGCCTAAATACTGGAATGACGTTTTCCAATATCTACCCAGCTGTTACTATGATGTTAAGATTTCTGTCAGGTTAAATAAGCTTCTTGCTGATCCTTTACCACTGAGCACATGGTTTCTACCTGAATTTAAAAAGCGAGCCACTTTAACTTCAATCGTGGGAAACGTTCTACCATTATTTCTGCTACTGTTACACCTAGGTAACAACACCCAGCAGGGGGTCGGTGAATCAGTCACTATTACCCGCGGTGAAGAGCATTACGGCTCAAACCAGCGAAATGTAACCTGTAATATTCTCTAATGTGATATTACAGGCCAGACATGATACGTGATCAGGCCTTGTGATGTTGAAACCACATCTGTGCCAGGCATTGTGTGTTTACTGTTTTTGTGGCTTTATTGCATCAGCAGGACTGAAGCCCTTCAAGGAGACCGCTTGCTGTCTCTGACCTGCAGGGGCAAATCTTCTGCTGCCGGCGCCGGTGGAGACAGAGCCGCCTCCCGTACAGCAGACACAATACCAGCTCCCCGATTGCATCACGCGGCGGGGCCTGGATAATTGCCCCACGTGAGACCGCGCACTTGCCCCGGACTCCCCCATCTGTGCCGCACCTGACTGGCCTCGCCGCATGCAATCACCAGTAATCCTTTCACTACCACGCTGCGTTGCCTGGAGACCAGGGCTGTTGGGGCCGGGCCCTCCTGCTAGGACAAAGTAACGTAACACCTTTCTGCCTGATAGACTCTCTCAACGCGCCGTGCCAACGCACTCCAGGAAGCGGGAGGGATTACGTGAATGACAAATCAAGTCATCTTTATCTCGCCACAATGTTGCATCTACAGTTTTCTCCAAAAGCCAATATTCCTTTCCTCATAATACTCGCATAAGCAGGAAATGCAAGGCTTGTTTTGGTGAGCGCGGGTAATGGCAACCAATGGCAACCTTTTGTGTCTCAATACAACTCATCCATCCATCATTGAAGTTTGCTCTCTAAACAGCAGGTGCACTGGGACACAGCGTGGAATCTCCCACCCCCGACATAATAACGCTCCTCACCCATGCGATTGCAACTCCATTCAACACTTGCCAGGCTTTGCGCGATGCTGCTTACACATCATCAGGCATCTCCAGGGAAGGGGGGGGGAGGTCGGATGCTAATTGATTTCTCCTCCGAAGAGAACATTTCATCATGCCTTGTTTTTTAACCCTTGCTCACTCATGACGTCATTGATGCAGGGACCATCATGGGCGTGAGCAGATGCCCTGTGGAAACCTTGCATGGGGGGGTGCGGCCAGCTAACAAAGTGACCGCTGAAGTGTACCAGTCACCCATGCAAGAGGACACAAGCCTTTTTTTCTTGCGACATGAGACAGTGAACAAGTCACCTCTAACAGTCCTCTGAAAACAGTTCCACCAAACTGGACAAAACATAAAATCAACTCGGTCAATCCCAAGGGAGGTTATCACTCATACTCCACAAAGTATTCAATCTCAGAAGTGCTAACGTGTGTTGACCAACAATCCATAGGGCCTATAATAAAGAATGACTCAGAACCAAGCAGCGGAACAGGACAGGACTTTGGGTCTTTCTCACTACTCACTAAGCAGCACAATCACTAGACATGAACTCTGGCCATGAGACATCACTCCCTCCCCGTGACCCCAAGGAGGATAAACAATAGTCCCAGACTCATCACCATGCAATCCGGTGACTAAGATCAGACATGTGCTTCCTCGGGTAAAAAGAATCCTGGGGGAAACTGATTGGCTGTAACAGGTGTCAGATTACATCAGTATTTGCACTATATTTTCCCATGGGTACAAATCAACCAATAATTTTCAGCACCAAAAAAACAAAAAAAACACACGCTTCAGTTAACGCATTATCTTGAAAATTCAAAAATGAAAAGAGCAACAGCTTTTATTAACAATAGAAAAGTGAAGTCATTCCTCAAATTAGTGTCAAAGCTCTCCAAATTATCATCCATAAATCATGTCTTTATACTGAAAACAAAGACTTGCAAAAATATTTGTGTTTAGAAGATTGCAAAATAAGGGCATATTGATATGCTGACATAGACATTGGTGGATCTGTAAGGCATATAAAAGTCAACCATATTTACATATCAACAAATAAATTTAAAAAATCAGTGCATGAGCCCTGTACTGAAGACAGCAGAACAATAAATAAATAACAAGGAATCTCTTGAGTGTTTAAATAATAAGACTCAACCCAGCTGATTCAGCTGACCAAGACAAAGATGAAAGTGAATATCAGCAAAGTCTAAATGCTTGTAAAGAAATTTTTAAATTCTAATTTTTAGTTTGTGGTGGGGGGTAGGTGCTGTCAGGTGTCCCGTATATGAGCCAGAATCTGTTCCCTGTGTGAAGGACTTAGGCAGTAACCAATGGCCTGATCCACCTCCGCAATCCGCCGCTGGAAACGATCCCGGTCGCGGGCCATTTCTTCCCACTGTCCCTTCCTGGACGCCTGGAGGGCAGAGGACCAGGCCCGCATGATGTGGACATGGACGACGGGTGAGAACCTCACCTGCAACAGGGACAGACAGACCCAGGTCAATACAGGCTTACTCACAAGAAAATATATCTTATCTCATCCCTCTGCTAAGCTGTCAACCATCCTGGCTTCACATAACCTATGATAAATCTCCCTGGGCATATTGAGAAACTACAATGTGGAACGTAACCACCATATGACAAGGGAATATTATGATACTGTTGCTGCATGCCCTGACTCACAGGTCACATGTCACTAAATCACTGTCCAGTAATATTTAGCTGTTACACATCACAAGCGCACAGCACTTCAGTTATTTTGGGGGAAAACATGAAACACAGACAGAAATAAACACACAAATAATTTTCAGGGCAGGGTTTTTGCTAGTACAATTACGGGATACACTGATTTGGAAGGTAGTTAATTCTGAGTAAATTTACTTTGGGTATAAATATGCATAATTGTATGCAGGCATATTAACCTTTTTTATCTGTGGTTTGTCTTTTTTCTGAGGCTCCACTGGAACCCCGCCGCCCAGCCTCCTCTTCGTCCAGGGGACAGTCTTTGGACTGTCCCACGACCTTTGGGAGCAATAGTGCTTAAAGTGTCTATTTGGCAAACATGGCTTTGACCTGCAGGCCTTCTGTGAACCATCTGGTTGGGTGGTCTTGTCTGTGAGCTGGGGGTCAAGGTTTGCCATGCCCTGTGCTGGCGGGGAGCTCCGGAGACAAGCCCGAAAGTGAAGAGGGTGGTAAGGATCGTCACCCTGGGAGAATGAGTTCCACAGCTCATCCTCTTCTGAGCAATGGGCTTCATCACTCTCACTACCTTCCAGGCGGTCATCCTGTCCCAATCCATCTAACTCATCATCATCATCATCCTCATGAGCTGCAACACTGGGTGTCTCCTCCCCATGACTGACACCCCCTGAACAAGCTCTTCTGGAGCTGGAGGCGCAGGCCGTGAAGTGCAGGGGGTTGTAAGGGTCTTCTGGGTGGGAGAATGAATCCCAGATCTTCTGGCTGTCCTCATCCTCCTCGGCTGCTGACTCGCAGGAACTGTCCCAACCACTCTCGCTGTCTGAACAGACATGGTCGGTGTCCTTTTGTGACTTATTTTGTAGAGTTTCCTCCTTTTGTGTAGAATCGGGGTTCATCCCATTGCTACCTTCTCCTGTCTCACGTGTGTATTCCTTCTTAGAGCAGGTAGAGATACAAGCAGAGAAACTTAAGGGATTGTAAGGATCATTACATTTTGTAAAATACTCCCACATTGTCTGGTTCTGCTGAAGGTTGGACTCATCGTCATCCTCATCATCATCATCATTATCATCATCCCAAGAAGATTCCTCCAGGTCTTTAGTGCACTCAGACTCAGGTGCTGCTTCAAATACCTCCACAGGTGTGTTATAGCCAGCTGTACCATTTAAGTCTTCAGCCACATGTATGTCCCAATCAGCACTGTTATTCGGATGCCAGCTAGGGTGATGCCCCAAACACAAATCTTCATCAGAGTCGGAGAAGCATTCAGTAGCACGCAAGACAAAATCGTCCACCAAACTGCAGCACAGGTCCTCTGGCCGCAGGCCAGACAGCAGCGTGGCGTGTGAGCCTCCCGCATAGGTGTCCACGCCACACTTGGACAGCATGTTTGTCCCATCAAACAAAGAAGAGAGGATGAAGGATTCAGCCGGACGGTCAGACGTGCTCATGTGCTGGACGTGATGGCCCGTCTCATCCGTGATCCTCAAGTGTACCTCCAGTCTGAACATCTGGAAGACTGCGGAAGATCATTCAAACATTAACAAAACGGCTACGATTGGCAGCACAAAATTGTTAGTTTATCCACATTTTGGAACCAACAAAGGCAGTTGCTGGAAAACTGTCAAACGCACGATTAATCGCCTAATCGTACTTCTCCCATCATGTTTCACAAAACATTCTACCGTCGGTACTCGCCGTATTGAATACGCATAATAGTTAAAATTATGTTTTTTTCTATCACATGAGCGTATATTTCAGCCTGCCTGTTGCGCCAATATGCAAACATATGGTATGTAAGGGGCCAAAAATAACTTAAGAGCGAATCCGAAAGTGACAACCCCCGCCCCGGGTCGTTGCATTTACACTCCAGCAATTACATTCTTCGGTTAGTCACAACAGATATCAGTATCTTAAAGCACCACAGCAAAAGAGAAACTATCTCCTCACCTGCCAGGAAGCTGTAGTAAATAACATGAACGAGAAGCCGCAAATGATCCCAAACAACAGAAAGTATCTGTTTCGTCCAGGGCAGGATCAACATCGCCGCGTCCCCCGAACGCTGCACGGCGGCCCCGTCCGCTCTCTCCTTCCCAGGATCCACAACAGTTTCCATTTTCAGCGATACAGAGCACCAATAAATTCACCAGCGATTCTGCTTATTACGTTTCGAGAAAGTGCCTTGTTTTTCTTCCAGATTACTCGTGTGAGGTCGTACACCGCCTTCATGATTCAGATCCAGTCGAATAAGTGTTATTGTTCGCGGGTAATAATTTCGGGACAGAGTAACGGTTTTCACTTTCTTTTCGTCTATAAAGGCAGCCGCGCTCGTTCCTCCCCTGGAAATGACTAACGTGAGCAAAGGGGCGTACCACCCCTTTTATCTGTCTTTGGTTCAACTAGTAACGCAGGCGTGGTTAGAGAATCGCGCTGTCACTCTTGTGCCACCGTCCCCCTCCCCCATTAAGCAACACCCCTTCCCCTTTTTCCGTGTCGTGTCTGATTACCCGTAAACGGCGCTGGAAACTACAAGAAGCGTCGGAGGAAAGTTCGATGCCCCGGGACCCCCAGCGGTATCTGGTCCGGCGCTACAGATAAGACTGGCGAGTGTAACTTAAAGATGGGTATAAGCTTACAGACCTTAAGACCGTCAGACGTGATAAAATGGTAATAAATGCAATTCGTGAAAATGTGGAATTCTCAAAACCCACAAAAACTGTTGAGGAGGAACAGAACCATTTAAGTGAAATTTAACTGTTCCCCCACTGTAAAAAAAATCGTTGTACAGTTAGAGTTGTAAATACAGGACAGAAGACAGTGACAGAAACATGGTTCTTTCGCCTCCCAACAATAAACAGGTTGACGCCTGATCACCAGTGGTACCCATGAAGAGAGCCAACAGTGTGCTGGACAATGTTTACATTCTTTAGACCAGGGGTCTCTAGGGGTCCTGGAGAGCTACTATCCAGTAGGTTTTCTGTCCCACTTGGTTTCTGATGAGCCACACCTGGCCCTGGTATTTACCTGAGAACAGGCGTGACTTACCAGAAGCCGGGTATGATAGAAAACCTATTGGACGGTAGCTCTCCAGGACCAGAGTTGGAGACCCCAGCTTTAGACAATTATGGGTAATGGACATGATTTTTTGCACTGGGAAACTTAATGAACCCCATGGAAAAATATTTAAATCCACAACAGAAGACACTACGCAAAGTTCTGAGCCAAAATCCACTTTATTTCTTGAAATTCTTGAATTTTATGCCACCAAAGCAGAAGCCGTAGAGGATTCGCTGTGATTTGGAGAGGGAGGGGAAAAAAGAAAGAAAAAAAAAGTTAGTGCACCTAACCTAAGCAAGCTTTATACAGAGACAATTCTTAAGGGTGTTAGTTGAGCAGCCAAAACATAAGACCAGTTAGGGCCAGACCTGTTACCCTTTCTAGAATCTCTCTAGCTGCGCATAACTAGGATTTCGATCTTTAAATATCCACGACGGCGGGTTGCTGAGGCACACTGTTATTATTGTGGGACGTTTCCCCATCTATGGGGAATCAGCACAGCCTTAACTGTGGTCTAAGAGGTCTTCAACAATTCCTGGGAAGGGACATAGAATCATAGGAGTAACTGCTGTTTAATTCAAATAAGGAACTATTTGCAGAGATTAATCACAGAATGAAAGCATTTGCAATCAATCTTACATTTCCTATAGCATTCCTGCTTCGAGTATTAACTGATCTAAAATCCATCCCCTCCCAGTCTGTACCTGTGGGGCCTTTAACTAGTTCATTTGGCATTACTTATTAGCAAACATTAACCAGGTCACAACCAGGACCTTAACCAAATAAGGTATTACTGTCACGGGAAATTGTTTGTACCAATATTCATTTTGACTACATTCAAAAGGAATTTCAGGAACCTGCACTACAAACAAACCAAACCTCCTGTTTTGACTTGACAGGTTCCAAGAATCATCTTCGTAGCACAGGAAAGGCAAATTCTTGTGTGCATATTGTCCATTTATGTAGTAGTTTTCATTTCCAGTTTATAAATGTAACTCCTGTCCTGAACATTTACAGTTTTCTCCCTGAAATTCTTCTGTTCCCATAATAAGATAGATAGTCCAGCACAGGTTCCCCCATGATCAATGGGCTTCAGCTCCCCCATGCTCCTGTAACAGGTCTGCCTTCAGTTTGACCTTCATGAGAATCCTTGAAGGTGGACATTCGAAGAAATGTGGAGCTGACCATAACTACAGCAGCCTCTAACAAAAACCCCCCTGGCACACGGCCGACACCTGGGTCACACACACACCGGAGAGGCATTTTGTATGAAGGGGACTGGCAAGGTTGGCACAGTGTCACCACTCTGCTAATTTACCTTCAGACTTACTCTAGCACGTCAGACATACCTTAGTTCTTATAGTAGAGAGAACCAGGAAGTGAAATGTGCAGGGAGAAATGGTGACTGTTTTTACAGTCATACCCCTAACAATTGCATCCATCAGCATGTCCAAAAGATTCGGTTCATCCATACGGTATTAAAGTGTGGAACGCCAAGGTTCCTTGACATCTGACGCTCAGTAGAAATCACCATAGACAAATGTCTAATTCATAAATTCAATACATACTACTTCCAGTTGGGTGCAAGGACCCTCTTAGTCTTGTAATATCGGGCCAGCCGGTGGATCCTGCTCTCAACAAGAATCAGCCGGAATTTGGCATCCTTGTCCTGCAAAACAGTTACAATGTGCTTTCAGGGTTTGTTACGTGGTGCAAGAGATGTGTGAACACATGCCCTGAACTGCAGTCTTCTTCCCATTCAAAAATGGTTCTCAGCCTGATGTTTCGTTAGAGCATATTCACACCATATTAGCAGGATGAAATCAACCATTAAAATGAACAGGAGCACCACAGAATGAAGACCATTTAAAGGGGCTACATTCCAAAAAACTACAGTACAAAGATGTGAGATGTTTCTGCATAAACAAGTGAAGGACATCTTCTCAGAAAAAGGCTTACAAATTGTATAATATACAGACGCTCCCCGGGTTACGATGGCCTGTTTTATAATATTTCGACTTTACGATGAGTAAATGTTTTTCACTTTCAGTACACCATTCAATAAATCACATGAGATATTCAACACTTCTTTTATAAATTAGGCTCTGTGTTAAGGATTTTGCCCAACTGTAAGCTAATGTAAGTATTCTAAGCATGTTTAAGGTAGGCTAGGCCAGGCTATGACATTTGTTAAGTTAGGTGTACAGTACAGTATTCTCCTTACGATATTTTCGCCTTACGATTGATTTGTTGGAACGTAACCCTGGGAAAGGCTATACATAAATGCTGAAATAACTGCTGGTTCTTCAATGGCCTGGTGTGGTATGACACATTAGCAAACAAACTGTTTGCACTCAGTTTAACCTATGTGCTTCCAATGAATTTGTCGTTAATTTGGAATATCATCATTCCCCACACCTGTCGGCCTCTTTTCTGGAGCCTGCACTGAACTGGCACTACCTCTTCGACCAAGAAATCACAATATAAAACTTAAGTGCAGAAATGTAGCAGCTGATATCTTAAGTAGTGATGTATTTCTGTACCAAAGGAGGACATCTGTTGACACTTGGGTTTGACTGTACAACATGCAAACATTTACCAATCCAATCAGATTGCATTTAGTTTCTGAGAACTCAAACCTAACTTCACACACAAAGTCCACTCTGGATAGCACATTAAAAAAAAAACAAATAAGAAATGGGAAAGAAACTTCTGTAGTGACCTAAAAAGTGCAAGTTCACTAACTAAAAGGCCAAAAGGATAGCTACTGTTACTTAATTTTAACAGCAGCTGACAATTCATCTAAACTTAAAATCTCAAAATCTATCTGAATTTGTCCACTACACAGCCTATAAGCAACTTCCTATCCACCTTAACAGGACCAAAAAAGCCAGCACATTCTGTAATGATGGAAAAAGACTGTCTCTCCAAAGTACTGACACAGACCAAGACATAATTTATACCCTGAGCTGCTGCAATTCAGCATTGTCAATATTTTAAATTGACAATTTTTTTTAATGAAATTACTTTGATTTCAGAAATGCTTCATTACAACAGATGGCTTCCTTCAATATCACTATGTAATTGAAATTATCACAAAACAAAAAGGTGTTTTGTACACTGTACACTCGATGAAATACCACAGAGGCACTATGGCCAAGCACCTGAAGAGTAAACACACAGGTGCTATTCTGCATGATGGACCACCAGAACAGGCAAAACTGCTGTAGGCGCTGTCTATTCATGTTTATTAACTTAGCATGTAGAGCTTTTTAATCTTTATAGCTGCTAAATACACTCATTATTAAAGTCAAAGTTGTCTGCCTGCTATCTTAGAATGTGAATAACTGTTTGAGAAAACATTTAGACTAAAATCCGGGCTTATTCTACGTGGATTGATGGTGCCAGTGTGTCTGTTCGTGCGTGTTGGGCTTGCTGGGACCAGTGTTATCCTAAACTAAAGCTGAAAAGAAAACGGAAACTCAAAACAAAAATAATTTAACTGAAATAAAGATGAAAACTATATTTACCAAAAAAACATCAGATTTCAATCTGCAAAAAGTACCGCCAAACTACTGTCTTTTTTTTACTTTGTTTATCCACGGATGTCCACGTTGTTGTGGGGGGGGCATAACTTGGCCAATATTAAGATTTACCTTTCTGTTCCTTTCCAGGTGCTTCCTCACAGCCACGGCCTTCTTGATCAGGTGGTAGAGGTCCTCAGGCAGGTCAGGGGCCAGACCCTTGGACTTGAGGATCCTCAGGATCTTGTTGCCTGTGACAAAGCGCACCTGGGCTACTCCATGGGAGTCCCTCAGGATCACACCTGGAGAAAGACACGCCACACGGCATTAGGAGGGTTGCAAAGTGACAGAAAATTTCAGGAAACTTTCCAGAAAATTTCCAAGGAAAGCTGGGGAATTTTGGAAATATTGATCTCCGTGCAAGCTGTCAGATACAGCAAAGAAAGTAAACTGTATGAATGATAACATAGAATGACTTATAAGCAGTGCATTTTGATGCACATGCTTATTTGAGGGTGTTTTTACACACACATTACTACTCAGATGCACCTGGTTACACAATGATATTATTTCTGCTGTCAAGATATTTAAGTTCCCTCTTGTAGGCTAACCTAATAGTAATAACCTAAATGAAGACGTTTTATTTTTTATGGATTTTTCCCCCAAGCTAATGAAAAGCCATACCGATCTGGGAGGGAGTCAGACCCTTCTTGGCCAGTTTGAAGATCTGCTCCTTGACATCATCTGATGTGAGTTTCAGCCACTAAAAAGGTAAAAAAAAACAAAAACAAAAAACACTTTAGCATAAACCTAATGAACTATTCATTGAGGAAATAAACATGAATGTTTATATACTAGAACTCACCGTGGGCACACTTCGCCTGAATGGAAGTGCCGACTGGGACAAGCCCTTTCTGTAATACAAATGACATCATACTGATCAGAGATCCACACTGCAAACCATAACGGAGACTAAGCGCCAGGTGTCTTGACTGATGCTAGGCAGGCAGCTTCCCATTCTGAACGAGCCGTCTGTCAAACAAGCAAATTCATTACACGTTACTAGTGCGCTATTCATTCAAAATCCAGGACGACCGACCGGTATCCGAAGCTATGTATTTAATCAAGTAATATTAGTTCGGAAGCAATTATGGCCGCAAAACCTTAGTTCATTGTGGAAAACATTGCAGATTAAGAAGAGACTGGGAGTAACAGCATTAATCCGCGTTACATGCGGCCATGATGCGCGCAGCTAGAAACAGGCTGAACTGTGAAGGTACAAAGGAGAAAACAGTACCCATCGAACAAGGCAATCAGTATACGCTCCGTTTGGAAATTTCTTTATGACAGTTCGGAAAAATTACACAGGAGGACGCATTTACTAAGGAAAAACACACCGGCTTACCCGGGAGCATGCATGCGACCCATGATGGCGTTTTAACGGAAGAGACCGGCCAACGCCGCAGAAACAGGGATGACGGCCTGTTCCGGAAATGACGCACTGAGTCATTTGTGCGCAGTCTCCGAGTCCTAATTGTCGCTTTTCGCTCCATCCCCAAAGCATGGCCGCCTGATCGCTGAAAAAGGAGTCCCTTGCCCGATAAGGCCCATGGAGGTGGGGCGCAGGATTCGCTAGCATTTCTTACTTTAGTAACACTATTATTAGAGTGGGAGCCAAGTGTATAACTTAGTTTTTAAATAGTATCCATACTTTTTAAATAAGTTCTCGATGTTCTGGTCCGTCCTAGTATGTTTTTTTAAAACACATTTAATCCTAATATATGCAAATTTAATGCATGTCATGTGGAATTATATATTTACAAATTAACGAGAACATTAAAATGATATCCTACCAAACTTATAGTGATACTAATGATAGGTCATTGTCTGGTCAAAAATAGATACTCCAAAGTAAACCTAAAAAATAGGGACGTATGCAATATGTTATGCATCATACATTTTAAAGAATTCAAATATGAGAAAAATCCGGGATTTTTTCCCCCTGAAATTTCACATTGGAAACAGAAGCGGTATCAGTGAATAAGTTCAGAAAAACGCTAAAAGAAATAAAATAAGGGCAAATATTGCAGTCTGAGGGCTGTGGTATGTTCCGAAGTGCGATAGAATCCACCAGGTGGTGCCCAACAAGCCTTATTATATGGTATTTCCTGCTAAGCAGTGCCTTTTCCTGTCCCCATGAACAATGCCTTTATATACTGGCAAACTATTACATTTTTCAAAGATGGAAATATTGATTTTCTTTTATGAATTTAGCCAGATTTTCCATCTGACTCAATACCAGGCACAGACTTTTACAATAGAAAACTAGCAATTATAATGTTCAACTTTTTTTTGCATTCCCTAAATCATTCACTTTGTACCTCTTAGACTTTGGGGTTTCAGAGCCCACTCTGCAAACAATTGGCACAAGACAGGGAATAACCCAGGATGAGGCACCAACCCGTCCCAGGTTGGTCACTGTGCTACCCCCACGTTGTTTTTTTTGTAGGTAATGGATGTAGATTTTTTTAAAAACACATCCTCAATATTAACATGCTGTCATTTCCCTTTAAATAATGGTAGCCAGTCCCATGTTAAATTCTCTTACAGGAAGTGACAACATGTATGATACCGATATGTATGCTGTAAATCATTTACTTTGTGGTGTCATGATTTTAGTGTGTTTCACTCTATCACCTTCCACCCTATTAGACGAAATTATAAAACACAATATAAATTTTCAAAACAATTGTGGAAAAACATGAAAATTAACTTTTCACCCGTTAGCTCACTCTCCCTCACTGAGCAACAGCTAATAAGGAGCTCTAAGTTTCCGTCATGCTGCTTTCCTAATAGGATGGTATTTTCATCCATACCAAAAGAAAACGCCCTGCATAGCAGGAAGGATCCTATATATGACTGAGAAAATGATGATGATGATACAGTCTTGTAGCTAAACATGGAGGAAGAGCACGCATTTCATTACCATGCCTACAACACACAGGAAAGAGACTGAATTGTTTATACCTAACTAAAAACATTGCACCTTGGCGGCAAACTGACAAATATGAAAGTAACCTTGTAAAAGACACCTAGATCATTTTGACCAAACCCATCATTGCTTTAAGACACAGGTAATGGATAACAGAATAGGAAAAAGAACCATGAACTGAGTTACAAATGCAGCTAAATGTGTTACATTACGCCAGGGGTCTGCAGTCCTGGAGAGCTACTATCCAGTAGGTTTTCTATCCTACCTGGCTTCTGATGAACCACACCTGTTCCTGGTATTTACCTGAGTCCCCTGCAGTAGACTGAAAGGCAATTAGCAGTACAGAGCAGAATGTAATGTCCTTATACATACTGCAAAACAAATTAAAGAATGGTTTCATTATTTTATGACCATATTTAAACATCATTGAACCTCTATGGGAAGTTCCACCTCTTTCATCCATGGGGGAATTTTTTCTTGAAGAATGGTGCAATATCCCACTTCACCCAAATCAGGACCTGTGTGAGAGCATTCCAAGGGGGACTCTGGGTGGCCCTCTTCCTTATTGGGTGTTTGCCATTTGTCAATATATTGTTAGGCACTGCCATAATGTTTTCGACCCCCACAATTGAGATTTGCACTAAAAAGTCTGTTTCCAGGAAGGTTACACACATGTACAAACAATATTTTGCAATGGTATAGCACACGTCATGAAACTAGAAATTAAAAACTAGTAATAATGTTATACACATAATATGAAAACAAAGGAAAATTTGAATTATGGCTTAAAAGTTACTGTTCTGGTAATGTCAACGGAACCATATCTGAAACCACTATCGGATTTCAGTACACACTTATTTACAAAAACAATATGTAAAGCTTTAGCAGTAAATATGAAATATTTATTTTGTTTTAAAATATTTCTTTCCCAAGGCTTATCAGAACTAAACATTTAGTAAGTAACCATTTTTTAAACACTAAATTTCAGTATGGAAATAAATTCAGTTTTAATACAAACCTTGTTCAATAATATTAAATTCAGGCTTACAGTACACAGATTCATTCAGGTTAAGATAACCAATTGAAAAATAAATAACTGGCCATATTTATATAAAATTCAGCATGTTTTTACAGTCATTGAAAGAATGAATCTTGTCACCTTACTAAGTGTGATATTATGAACTTCATAATTCCATATTCGCTATAAAAAAAAACTGACACATGCCCTTAGAAGTGAGGTTAAAATTCCCCCTTTTTAAATGTTAATTATCCTCTGTTGCCTGAATGTTCTACTGCCCTTCCCAGAAATGTAAAGTTATTAAATACAAAGATGTGGGAACAAGTTCTATTTGAAATTGTGTTCCGCTAACAACCGGGTGTCCTCGTGCATTGTGAGTGTCAGATAATACCCTACATAACAATATAAAATGTGCTTAGTAAAGACGGGGTGTCCAAAAAAACAATATTAAAAAAGTCAGAGGTACCCCATTTTCTCTTCCCCCCCCACCCCGGGAAGTGGCCTGTCACCCTATTCCATTCTTTTGGCACTTGAATTAGGACATGCTGACTCACTTCCTTCAGTCCTGGGTCTCGACCAGCCGGCCAAGACATTCTAGTCTCTGTTTCTGCCTTATTTACGTAGAAAAACTGTAAAAATGAGTTGTTTTAAAAATAAAATGTCTTCATATATATATATATACACTTTATATATATATATATTTATATACACTCTTTCAAAGTGAGCAGTTTTGGTCCTTTTTAATGTCAAAATTTAAGAAAACACGACACGTGTCTGTTATATTTTAGCAACAAAAGAGGTCAGAATCGTGATTAGTGTCAGGAGGAACAAACTGGTGTAGTGAGCAGTCGTGAGTTCCCCTCTGCCGGGGGTCTAAAAGTAGGGCACAGCCGTGAGCTTGTACCACTTGACAGTCTCTTTGCTGAGGTTGAAGTCTTTCAGGCTCAGGGTGAGGCCTCCCAAGTAACAGTTCTCCCTCAGGGGCTCGGCACTGAGCACGCTCAGCTGCAGCTCCCGCGGGCTCAGGCTCTCTCTGCTGTAGCCGCTGTACACAAGCTGCAGGGGGCGACAGCATGCAGTGGCCGTCAGCGTTCGGCCAGACATCTGCCTTGCGAGCTCAAACCAATCCCTTTGGTTCAGCTAAATGCCAAGCCTGTAATACAGCTATTCCATGATATTCCGAGCCATCCGGCTGGGATTGCCCTCTCGAAGGCTATGTAGGGCTGCATTAGAAATAGCTCGCAATCACTTATAATGGATGTCTAAAAATAACGGTAGACGTAAGTTTATCCTGTCACATCTGTCCTGCTTTGCTGTAGTGTGACCACAGCTAAAAATGGAAATAGATTTTCAAATTAGAAAAATAATAGTATGAAAGGATATGATGAAGTATGAAGGATAGTATGAAAAACTCACCATTTCGTTAAAGGTGGGGTTCCTGGTTTTCCTGGAGATCTTTGTTTTACGTTTCATGGTTTTGTGTGGATCAGGGAGCAAATAGGTCTTCACATAAGGATTGGGGTCCGTGCCATCCTCTGACACCTGCGAGAGAACAGGAAATGAACAAACTGATGAATGATCAAAGAAACGAATGGACATCAGGATCTGACATAAGGTCACATGATTATACATACGGTCACATGATTATACATACGGTCACATGATCTGACAAGTTCAGGAGCCAGTTACGGTTCTAACAGGGAAAGAGGTAAATGGTCGACAGTGAGGCAGACTGACACTCACCAGGTCTCTGATGTGCATTACCATGATGAAAAGGTTGCCGTTCCTGTAGGACACAGACAGCTTCACTTCGCCCCCCACCTTCCCTGTGGTCGGGCTCATCGGCATCATATCTGCAAGACCGCCCACCCACCTTTAATGGTTTCTGTTCAAGCTACATTGCTGCTGGGGGTGGAGGTGAGCAAAGACGAGTCTGGGTGGTGAGAATGAAGCTTTGGATAACCTACCTTGAGGTTTAGTCATGCCCTCGAACCCTTCGTTCTTGTCATCTCGAGCGATCGGATGGAAGAATGTGTAGATTAGGTCACACTGAGGGGACAATGAAGACCATTTTTAATCCTTAAAGGACCGAGACTGGAAGCTTCCTTAAAAACACAGGTCATCATGTAGGAGGGGTCAGTCACCTGGGTCACCTCAGTGGAGCTCCTCATCAAGCTGTGCATGTAGCTGTTGAGCTCCACCTTCCTCTTGGCTGCCACCTCCTTGATGTGCGTGCGGCCCAGGACCATCTTGTTGGGGAATCTGTGGCGTTAAGGGGGTAGAACTTCAACCAAATCATCACCCATGTGGGAGCCTGTGGACTCCCATTTGTAACAGCCTGTTTTAGAGGTCAGAACATGTTAACATGGCAGACAACCAAATTAAGACAACAAAGCACTCTACCCAGGGAGCTTCCATAGCTGGAAGAGGATAGTCAGCTTATTATGCAGCTCCTGGAACTCATCAAAGGTGCGCAACACAAACTGCGCCTCACTCTGGCCCTCTCTGAATACTCTCACCACGTACGTCTGCGGGATGGAAAGAAAACCAACATTACTTAGGACCTACACCAGTGCTTCCCAATAAGGTCCTTCAGGACTCGCAGACAGTCCACCATGTTGCACAGGGGCTGGCCAACAGCAATAATGTGGACCAACTATGGGTCCCTGAGGATCGGATTGGGGCACACCGGCCTACACGAACACAACTTCAATTACACTTTCCTGAATTCTGTAAATGCATTTTGCATTTTCATACTTCCCAATGCATCATGTCATCAACATCCCAAACCAACAATGATTTTGTGACCTACCCTAAAGTAACACATTTCCAAAGATCTGGAACTGGTAGCTTGTTCAGAAGCCCAAGATACACAGCATGAAATAAAACTTAAGTGTTTTGGGGCAAATTTCAACTAGCATTTTGGGATCTGTCACCTTGGCTCATGACACGTCTTAATGATCAACAGATGTCTGTCTCCAAAGATGAAAAGCAGAACCTCAACCTTTTTGTTGCTGAATGGGGCAGTTCACCCCAAAACTGAAAAAAAGATATGTTTTAGAGGGGCTTTAGGGCTTTCTATCCATCCATCCAGAAGATGAGGTGCTCATGATTGTATCTTCTGCACAATGATATGGGTGATGAGTTTGGTATAAGAAAATATTTAGTACATTGAACTGCTCACAACAAAATCTGTGGATTATCTTCATTACCTGGGTCATGGTGTAAGAGACGTTGCTGTTGAATTTTTCATAAGTATTTTTCTGGCACTTTAATCACCACAGAAATAATGCCGTTCACTCCCATTATAATCAAGAGAAGCCCAACATTTCTACAACCGGTATCCAAAACTAGGCGACTCCCAGCAGAACATCCTAGATGGATAGATATCACTAAAGCCCCTCTAAAACATGGGGGTAAACTGTCCCATGTGTTACTGTTATACTACAGTATGCTTCCTATTGTTGCCATAGCCGTCACTGTGCTGTTAAGCAAATTTCCAAAGCAAAAAGGCAGCATAGAAGGTTCTGGTACTGTAGATGATCACAGATGTCAAGGGATAACAGCAGCAGTGCTCACATAGTGCTTGTCTGGGTTGTATCTCTTATGGAAAGTGAAGATGGAAGCGTCACGGATGCGGCCGTCCTGCTTAAGCGTGTAGGTCTTGGGTGAGAAGGACAGGATGGGCTCATCGTTGGAGGGAAGGCCAGAGAAGCGCAGCTGGGCCAGGTTGTGAATGAAGAAGTTGAACTTGGTGGCCATACTGCCCAGGCTGGACTCGATCAGCCTGGAAGGAAGCGACCAGTCAGTAGCACTGGGCTAAATGGCTCTTAGGCTTTTCATTTCTGGGAATGCAACATGTGTAAGTACTACATATGTTGATACATGGTTATTCTGTTAGAACCATCCACATTTTTAAGCATGCAATTATATATTTTGTATATAACTCAAATAGGCTGTATGTGTTCATGCAAACAATTTTACAATTGTTTTCGGTATATGCGTATTTTTTATAGAATCTTTGAAAAGAATTTACTACTCTGGATTCCCTTTGCAATGAACCCACCAATCCCCTACAACGCATTAGTTGTATGTTTAAAAAAAAAAAAAAAAAAAAAAACCCTAAGTACTGAGCTGTTACCACACCTGGTGAAGAAAATGGTGGCTTCTGCATCAGTGGTTTCAGGCTGCAGAGCATCATACACATATTTTAGGTCCTGGGCTCCGGTCAGCTCTGGAAGACCTGATGATGTCATCTGTCAACACACACATGTGCGCGCACACACACACACACACACATCCCATAAGCTGATCAGTCAGCAGACACCACGGGGAGGACATACGTAACAGTGACATTCTGAAATGAACTGGCATAAACATCCCGACTGGAGGAAAAAGGGGAAACATCTAATGCAACACGTCATAAAATTACCAGGGACAGCAGGTTGAGGAAGAGGCTGGCATTTTTGCGTATCAGGTTGTAGGCCTGCGAGCACAGGTCCACAAACAGCTGGAAGCGGCTGGTGGGCCTCTCCCCTCCGTTGATGACGTATGCCATGTCAGAGGTCAGCACAAAAGGGGCGCGGTCCCTGACACAGCGGAGGAGCAAAGAAAATGTGATCACATGCCGTCTTGAAGTGATACGACTACGTTGCGCCAAACGAGAATCAAAATCAGGATTATTGCCCAAGTACGCTCACACACAAAGAATTTAACTCCAATTGTCTATCCTGTGTACCTAAATGACAGCTTGACCAACATTCATTAACACAATTAAGACAAAACAATGTTACATGAAATCCTTCTGATACACAGTACCAGTCAAAAGTCTGGACACACCTGCTTTTAATGCATTTGTCCCTATTTTAGTCACCTTATAGTAAAAGGCCTCAAGACAATGCATAGTATAAGAAACATTACAATGACCAGGAAAATGTGTTCAACATCTCAAAATTTCTTCAAATTTTAGATACTTCAAAATAGCTTCCTTCTGTTTTAATGACAGCATTGCAGACTCTTGTCATTCTTACAATCAGGTTTCAGATGTAGGGTTTTTATCACAGTTGTTGATGATATTCAGCAGGCATATCCAAGCTTTGAACTGGTACTGTACGTGGCTTGTGGTGGTAAAAGTTCAAGAATGCATGCCAGGGCAAGAAATGTCAGAATAAAAACTGTGGACTGTGACTCAGTAAACTTGTGATTAAATATCATGGACAAATGGTTTTCTCCCCAAGACCTAGAAGCAAGACCCATTTTCCAAGGAGTAGCACAGTGTCTGTATGCTTTTGGGTTATTTCTGTGTTATCAACAGATTTATTTCTGTAGCTCCTACCTAATAATAACTTCGCTAAAGCCACAGAGAACTTTGTTAAGACAGAAACAGCACCTGAGATTTAAAATACCGCAATGCATGAGCCTCCGTGAAGGAACAAACAAATGAATGCAACGCACGCTGCAAGACTGCAGCCGGGCGACATACCTCTTAAAGCTTCCGAACATCTGTGCGTGTCCCAGGAATTTGCCGAAATCGATGTGGAACATGTGACCGGTAGAGCGAAGCATTATATTGTCGTTATGTCGGTCACAGATGCCCAGCACGTAGGTAGCCACGCAGCAGCCCGCACATGAGTAGATGAAGTTCTCGGATGCCTATTAGGAGAAGCGCCACAGAACAGTACCGTTACAGATCAAACTCTCTGACAATCCACTGCAGAGTCCCCCATGACCCAGGGATACTGGTTTCATGCAGGTCGTGGTGGGGCTACAGGTAGCATGACGATATTTCGTACCTTTTCATACTCTTCCTCAGCTGGGTTGTACTTGCGCAGCCACTCCGCCAGCGGCTTGTCCTTGAAGGAGCCCGTCACCCCATATTCTCCCTGGATCTTCCGTAGAGTTTCAGAGGCTGGGACCAGCTCTACCATGCCTGAAGCAGCAAGTGGCAGACAGGGCTTAAACACCAAATTTGATCCATAGCAACAAAGCCCCCCGGTTTCCGGAATGTTCCGGTGTACGTGGGCTGGGCGAGCAGCAGCCTTCTCAGCAGGTGGCTGACGTGATTTCAGGGACAGAAAACAAAACAAACAACGATCGGTGACTGTAAGGTCTACCTTTGTCTTTTCCGGTGGAGATGCATTTGAAGTTGACAATTCGTAGGTCTAGACCCTCCTGGAGCCAAATCCGGTCCATAATTCGGATCATCTGCAGTGCCAGCATGTCCTGCCTGAGGTCTTCCCCCACCTGTCACGCACACGCAAACATATTACGCACAGGTGATCACAAAAACACCCCCTGTTCTTTAAACTGGCAGTTTTATTTAGTTAATCTAACTTCAAAAAATAATCATTCACAATATGAAATCATTCACAGACTGTCTAAGTATTTTTTTGTTCTTAAACTAGGATCTTTGTCAAATAACCATACAATATGTGCTGTACATAATGCCATCAGAACAATCACAGGAAATTGTGTGATTATGCTGTGAAAAATCCATTTGTAATTATGTATACCTGCCACCAGAGGGACTAAACTATCCAACATGGCACTCCACCAGTTCCCCCTGCTCCCAGACAATGAAACACATCCCACAGAAACGTACGCTAGCTGGGGTCTGGTATGCACATTAAGGATCAGGTTTAAATCGGCTCATGGAAAATTCATTGCTGAAATGTTTCAGTAAACAAAAAAAAAAAGCACATTTTAAACATAGGCCACACCAAAAGAATTTTCTTAAGTACATAAATTAATTCCATCAGCCATATCGCTTTACCAACCAAGTGATACTTAAAGAATCAGACTACTTTCAGATTATTTTATTTAGATCTTTTATCTGCCTGGAAACCTAAGAGGACGGTGTAAATATTTAATTCATCTGTGATACTCTTCAGCCATTCTCTACCTCCTACGCATTATCTTGACGATATAGCTGGGTTTTCCCAGCATGTTAAGGCTGGCCAACTTCCACTAAGTCCTACCTTGAACATAACATTGATCTCTTCTCCAAGTGGGTCGGCATTGACCAACGCGAGTTTCAGAGGCACCGCATTGGAATTGAAGAAGGAGCAGGCCTGTTGGAAGACAAAAGAAAACCCTATATCTGTGTGTCTTCTTCTCACAGAAATGGCACAGATAATTACTATATAACCATGGCAACAAAAAGGAGGATTTAACAAAGGAGGCTCCCAGTTAAAGATCAGAGTAAAATATTTACTAAGCTAGACGTCCTTCCAGAAGCGAATGTAAAACTGCTTGGCTGGACTTAAGCGTTGGCACGCCACGTCCTGATTGGCATCAAGCGAAAAGCAGCACTCTGCAAGTCTTTAAATCCAGCATTTCTTGAGAAGCCAAGTGCTCTGGGGCTGTTATAATCACAGGAGAGTGTGATGCAAAGTCAGCTAAGTGTCTCACCTTCCCAAGCAGGCCTTTGGCCACCAAGCTCGGACTGAGGGGCAGTCGGCAGGTGTTCTTCTGGAAGAAGGATTGCACAACTCCCAGCCCCTCCTGAAGAACAGCCTGAAGGGGGAGAGTTGAAAACCAGTCTTGCCACACCTGAAGGAGAAACAGCGCCCCCCTATGTCTATTCAGGAGCAGTGACCCCACCCCTCTTCCTCGTGAAGAACTTCCTCACCGGTCTGGTGGAGCTGCTGGCCTGCCGCACCTTCTCAGCCAGCGACCCCAGGAGCTGCGTCAGCTGAGCCTGCTTGTCCAGCTCGGCCCGCATCCCCGCTCCGCACAGGCACAGCAGCGCCCCCAGGACACGCTCATAGCGTATGCCGAAACAAGGGTCCTGCACGGCGTCCCGCAGCAACCTGGGGAGCGCAGAGCACAGATGAGCCATCTGCTCCACAATTCTGGGTCACATCAACAGGCCCGACGAGGAAACACACTCACACCAGGTTAAGCTGGATGAGTACTCAGGATGCCCAGAAGAACTCACCAGTAAAGGTAATGGGCAATGTTGACATTGCCCAGGGCTCGAGAGAGCAGGAATATCACTAAGGCATTCTTCAGGTGGCACTCGAACTTCAGTGCCTGGATAGAGAGGAAAATGACTACTTCAGATCAAGAACAACTGATTAATACAATTAATGGCATCTGGTTAATGGCAGGTAAAGGGCTCACCTGCACCAACTGGGGCAGATACACAGCGAGCTCGTCATCACTGCTGCTCTCAATCCAGCTAACGGCCACACTCCGCACCTCAGTGTCTGCAAACCTGACCCCCCCCCCCAGAACACCTTGGGTCATCCCAAACAAATCAATCAGAACACTACAGTCTAGCATGGTGCTTATGGAACAAGTGGCTGCGCCTCTGTTTGTATCAGTTGCCCCAACTTCCTGTTATCTACATTCAATCTGGTTCCTGTCCACTCAGAGAAATGTAAAATGACCAGTATTTTTCAACTGTGTGTCCAGCTCTAGTCGATTGCGCTTAACTTACTTGGAGTCCAAAAGCTCCAAGGCGGAGACTGGAGTCAGGGGTGGCCATTGATGCAGGAGAGTGTGGATCTCTGCCATGCTGCCCCAGTCCCAGCTGGGGGCGCTGGCCAGGACTTTGGGCAGGCTCTGCTTATAGGCACGGCAGTAGTGCCGCTTGTCCCACAGAAGCAGCCTGTCAGCACGTGTCAGCCTGGTGAAAAGCACAGAGGATAATCAGAGGTGGATGACTAGAGGTCTGCTGAGGTCTTGGCAGCTAATGGAAAATGCAGATTCGCATCCACAAAAAAATCTGCAAAAGTGGCACCAATATAAAAGGGAGAAAAGAAATTCCACCTCCTAAAATTTATCCGCCGAGTGGAAATACACAGTTAAGCTGAGCGTGGCTCTCAGGTCCGTGATTACAGGCGTCTCGAAGCAATAAAGCGCGATGCTCAAGGACGGAGAACTGAAAGCGCTGCGGTGTCCCACTCACTGTCTGAAAGGGTGTCTGGGTTTCACGCTGTCAAGGGGAATTATCTGAGTACTGGGGTTTCTAGGACTTCCATCAACAGCCAAAAGTAGCAGCAAAAAACATTCACTTCCTGCAAATTTCGACCCATGAGGGAACATTCCGTTACCGGTTTGGAAACTTTTTCTCAAATTCTTCATAGTTGTTTCTATTAGAGATTCACTCTCAGTCACAGCTAATATGGTAACGACAGGCCATATCAACCTGTAGGTCATCAGAATTCTACCACTCCTACTGCTCGGGTGGGGTGGGGTTCATCAGCCCTGCTTACTCTTGGCACTGAAAGGGAACTTTGTTTCAAAAGCAGACGTAACTATTTTAAGTGCATGCTTAAATTTTCCACTGGGGAAGGAAGGGGGGGGGGTGACAACTGAACACTGGCCAGCCAGCCATGACCTGGATACGCCACCCATGATTGAGCTGTATGGAGACTATACTCCCCCAGGGGGAAAACTCTGGCCAGGGGCCACTGTAACATTTTACATCCTTATGGCCTTTTTATAACCCAGAAGCTCTGCTGATTGCACATGAGATTTGACCTGGGGTGGAGCAGGACTCTCGTACCCAAACATGGAGGCCCGGTTGCACAGCTTCTCGATGCAGCGAGTCAGGTCGGGGTCAAGGGCCTCCAGTGACTGGGGGTCGGGGCAGCTGGTGGCCTGGGGCCCCACATAGAGGATATCCACAGCTGGACTGGGGAAGTCCACCTGGGGGGGGAGCATGCCCAAGAGGCAGCAAAGTAAATAATCAATCATCATCATCATCATCATCAGGATCCTGACAGTACCAAAAAGCACACCAACAACAGCAATAACACAAGGCACACAAGTCAAATTCTGTGCCAGGGTTCTAAGGCTGTCATACTGGACGTGAGGAGTATTCATTAATATTCGCTCTTTACGTCGAAGTTAGAAAACGTCTCGTCTACAGCCACAAGATGTTCTAATCAAAGCCTGTTTGCTCAGCAAATGGGTTCATTAGGAGGTCCAGCACACCCGCAGCAGGATCCTCTCCACGGGGCTCCTCTTGTGGCCCGTGATACCGGCCAGGGCTGTTGTAGGGGAGGTCCACAGGCTCAACAGTTTGGGCCCACGAGCCAGAACCCTGAAGACAATCCCAGGGCACAAAAGAAAAAATGAACTCTTTATTACTGTAATGTCCGCAAATGAGAATAGGTTATTGGGCTGTTGCAAACTGTTGCAAATGCAATCCTATTAAATTACCGTCGGAAGTCGAACAGGGGCATGGATACTTTGCCCAGTAGTTCCGGTCCCTTGCGCTGCTTGTTGGAATCGGGTGAACTGTTGGCATTCTGGTTCAGAATTCCAAACAAGGAAAGGCTCAGCATTGACTCCAAGGGCAGGAGGGCAACCGGGATGGGAAAATGTATCCTGGGGGTAAAGAAAAATTTCTGTGAACAAGAGGGCTTTTCAGGACATGAAAACAGCCTTTCTGAAGTCCCATAACAGTATCGAGTCACTTACAGTTCATCCCATTTAATGTGGTAGAAGAAATTCTTGTACGTGCCGACCTTCTTGGACTGAACTGGCTTGAACAGATTCTTTCCATTGTGTGTTAGGGCACACATCAGATAGTACTTTTCATAGCTGAAAGAACGCAAGAGGAGAAAATGCCAGCTGTTAGGTGCAAACGTGGTCAAAGGCGAGAAAAGACAGAACGGAGATATGTATGCTTTCAGTCCAGCATCAGACTACGTGCCTTCCTCGATAACACACAATTTCATTAAATATATATACAAAAAAAAAAACACTTCTGCAATGACTTAATTCCCAACACTGTCACACTAATGAAGCATGACGCCATGTTACTAAACCACATTCATGTCATGGCTGATACATTCAGTTACACCCCTGTAACAGCCCAGAGCACCGGGGAGCCAGTTCGGATGAAAGACCTGGTTTGGGAACTCCAGCAGGATGTGTCTGGGAATATTCTTTAAATATAGCGCTCAAGTAAGCTCTAAGGAGATGGCTGCAGGGAAAAGCCTATTATTAGCTTGGGTCTTGTTCATTTTTAATCTGGGCTGGGCGTGCGACCAGGAGGCCCGAAAGCAGAAAATGTGGCAGCACTTTGGACCGCGCCTTTCACTTCCTGCAATGGCGATGGTGAAGCCCACTCCTACCATGTTCCTGCACCCTACGACTGTTGACTATGAAAGGGAAGAAAACACATGAGGGAATGAGGGCAGAGTCGAACACGGGCCACAAATGGGGAGGGGGGGCACTTTTGTCCAAGCCAAGGACGGACAAGGGGCTTCAAAACACTCCTCGCTGCTGGGCAAAAGTTGAATGTGCTCCCCGATGAGCATGACCTCATCATTTTCGCATAGCTAAACAAGCCGCCTGCACCGTGCAATCACAGCACCCCCACCCCCACCCCCACCCCCTGAGTAAAGAAACTTCCCCTAGGGGACAGAAATTGGCCATGTATCAAGTTCAAGTTTCATGGTGCAGATCTGGCTGAGAAATCACAGCACTGTGATGGCGTCGCCATGAGGAAATACCAGTCAGGATGTGAGAATCGGTCTGTTTGGGGGAACAGGACCAAAGTGCAGAAAAAAATACAAGATCCTATTTTAATCTGCAAGGACAGGAACCGTGGACTGACCCATGAAGACTTGTGAACAACACCAGGAATCCTGCTCACACTTACAACATCTGATTATGAGATATACATTGAAGCTCTCTCTCAGCGAAACGCCATATGCCCTATCCAGGGAGCCAAAAAGTAGACAGACAATCATCCACCCTTTAATTAGAGGCCGTTACATATTTGATGATTTGAGGGCTTCAGTATTGAGTGGCCTGATTTTAACTGGAATCAATAAAACAAAAAACCTCTGGCACTTTTTTTTGTAACAAACACGATTAATGTTGGGCTTAACTAAACACTTGCTCATCAAGTGAGCCAAATGCTGGTCCAAGTCCAGCTTCTCTGACAACCAACAAGTGTTTAATATTCCTGATACCCACACAGCCACCAACCACCAGCAGGGGGTGCTGCACCATACCTGCTGACCCACACGTTAGTAATGCCGTGCACAGCAACCAGGGTGAATTGCAGGTGCTCCGTTGTGTCTGAGGCTTCCTTGCTGTCCCGGACCTCATTCGGCTGACCCTTGGTAGGCTGGCCCTCAGAGCCACTGGACGATGGGGGGCAAAATGAGCGAAGGTACAGTTTGATCAGGTCGTACACAGCGGCGGTGAGGCCAGCAAGGCTCTCCTCCACTGGACTGATGTGGCCTGAGGGCCAAAGAACAAGGAGTGTTGCATCAGCCACATGTTTTAATTCATAACGACAAGAAACATAGCAACACACTACGTCACCCAACCCCCAAAATCTGAAAGCCTTGGCCATGACTTACCATCTGCTGAGCCATCTGAGGATTTTATACCAGCCTGAAAAAAAACAAATGAATCAAGCACGTCTTAAAAATCAGGTCCAAAATGCATGTTTTGGGACACACAATATAAATTACAATATAGATTACGGTGTCGTCACATTTTCCATTAGCTACCAAGCCATGAACCAAGAGTGATACGGAAGACCTGGCTCACCTCAAAGGATTTGGTTTTGGGGAGGTTGACAGAACGCTTGACCTTCTTTACTGCTTCAGTGATTGCCATGGACTCCACCTCGTCCATCAGACAGCAGATGTTCTTCACGGTCTGGATCACGTGCTCCATGGTCTTGTACTGGGTGTTCTGCAGGAGACAGACAGGAGATGAGCCCTCGCCCTTACTGCAAATGCAAAGCAAGATGTTTACTTGCCTTTATGAAGAGTATAAGACAAAATAAATCAATGTTTGGAACTAGATCGGTTTGTTGGTACACATGGGGGCAGTGTGTGGCTCAGCGGGTTGTGCCTGAGATCAGGATGTTGTTGGTTCGTATCCCATGGTCAGCATAGTGATTTCACCATCGGGCCCTTTAGCAAGGCCCTTATCCCCCAATTGCTTCAGGTACTTGTGTCCGTCCCTGCTTTCTTAAATGTATGTCACTTTCGATACAAGCATCAGCTAAATAAATGAATGCAAACATAACTGCATTTTGAAGGTTGGAATTAGATTAACCACAATGTGCAGGCAATATAAAGCGGAGTTTGTTTATTCACTAATAGTTTATTGTTCACCATGCATCTGCTAGCATAAAAAATAGACCATGTCAGTATCATAACAAGCAATCAACAGGATCCAACCACTTGTCACATGATCTTCAACGTCAAAGCCCCCATCTTAGCAATCGAGAGACAGCTGTGTACCTCGTTCTGCAGGCAGATGTTGACTTGATTGTGATAGCTCTCCAGGTAGTCAACAAGAGAGTGCCTAAAAACAAAAAAGCCCACAAAGCAGAATCAAGAACCATGACATTCTGACACCCACCCATTGTGTGGATGGTAAAATGCACATCGGTGCACCGATATAAAAGTTCATGATGCGACTTAAAAAAAAAAAAAAGTGTTTACCGGATACAATTTGGAATGAACTTGGGATGCATCGTTTCTTTGCAATGGTAAAATCTGGTTTATCAACATACAATTATTAGTAGAGCCTCCATGCCTTTATTATTCAGAAATGTGTGCAATAATTTGACAATTTTTATATTTAGATTGATTCCCCCTCTCTAAATTGAATAGCATCATTCTTTTGCTTCGCATCACGCTGAATCACATTGTGCTAAATGAAATCATGTCGAATCGTACTGCATCACAATAGGGATCAATCATATTGTATCCCATGAGTAGTTGCTTCATATGGATCTTTAATGTATTGGATTGTTTGCATTGTATGGAGATGTGTATCACATCAGCTTCAGTGATGGAGATGCACATCCCTATCGTACCTGGTAACCGTTTCCTTGAAAGGCCTCTCCACCAGATGCAGGTACTTCTCCAATACGATGGGGGAAGTATCGTCATCCGCCTGTGCACACAGACAACAGCTTGCCTTTACTTTCTCAAAGCCATGGTCACTGAGAAGGACCAGGGTTGCTCCTGGCAAGTCACGCAACACTGACTGCAGCAAACTCAAGCATGGGCTGAAGTGGGGGGCTTTCAGGACATTCTGCGGGCTTCTCTGGGGCAAATATGGAAGGAGGGAGAGCTTGTACAACTGAGAAGAAACTTTAGAAGTTTCAAAACATTAGAGAGCACAGAGATGGGCTGTTGATGTCTAGAGGTCCAAGATTTAGTTTCAACCAACCAGTTGAGTACTCTGTGACTGTGACTCTTTATACTCAGTTGGTTGGTTGAAACTAGGGGTGAATCTTAATACCAAGAACGCAAAGACTATACTTAAGGTCTTGGCATCACCAGTCTTGCTAATTTGCCTTCCAATAACAAACTTGGGGCGCAATGAATCATGGGACTGGTCTCATTCAGCAAGGATGCTATCAATGTATCACGTATATTGGGGGCGAGGCAAGACCACATCTTTTACTTGTGTTCCTAGTATTGGAACTGGTCTCTGACAGTGGAAGATGTTGCAAAACCAGTACACAAGAACACAAGTACGGTCAAATACACATATTGAGATTCACCTAAAATCTTGGTCTGGACTCTCTGGACCTGAATTACCCATCACTGAAAGAGTAAAGTTCAATGTTCATCCAACTCATCTTCTGATGGCCTCATAACAAGTACACCTCCAAGAGCACTCAACTCCAGACCGAGTGTGATGAAGATAAGGTCCAAGCCTCACCGTGCGCGCCAGGTCCCTCTTGATCGTGCTCTTGGAGAGGAGCTGAAGCTTAATCTCAGTCTCCCACTTCCTGCAGCTCTGGACATACTCATGGCTGCCCAAGCTATGCTTGCTGAGCCGACAGAAAGTCAAGGTAGGGGTGTGGGGCAGCACAGCAGGGGAGACAAATGATTAGCAGCCTGAAGTTCTCACATTCCAACTTGAGTAGGTTCCCCCACCAGATACAAAGTGAAATGGACCATTTCATCAAGTCCATGACACACCAGCAGTTACATGCCCCCATTCCCCCCTTTGTATGGAGACTGCCCACTGGACGAAGGAAAAGACAGTGTCCAACTCCATGAATTCCTGCATACTTGACTCGTCCGCCAAAGTCTCACAAAACAATAAACACACAAAAGCGATTAAGAAAAAGAAGCAAAATACAAAAACAACTCAAAGGAAAGCTGACTAAGAGGGGAAATTAATGTGCGATGTGTCAGAAGCATTCGCAACACTGCGTGCCGTAAACATACGGCCTCAAACAAGGCTGGTCGTGAAGAAACATCCTTTTAACTTGAGCCACTGACCCGTCTGGTCCTCATTCTGCTGCATCAACCTCATTCTCTCATCAGTTTTGATATTCAATGAGTGAAAGAGCACAAAGGAAACATTTTCTGAACACAATTAAAGACAAACAGTCCCCTGAATGTGGAATGTTGGCTCATGCCTTGTTTTTGTACTTTTTCACCCCCCCCCCCCCCCCCCCCCCCCCCCGCATTCCCTCCTCATCTCCTCTCTTCCTTGCCGGCAAAGGCAGGACCCCCTCCAAAAACAAGGGACATACTTCTGCAGGACTGCCTCCTGGCCACAGATTTTGAGGAGGTAGCTGCCAATGTCCACCTGGTTCAGGTCGTCGTGCGCCCAGCACAGGGCCTGCATGATGAGAAGCTCCACCGGAGAGCTCACTGAAAGAAGGGAGTGGATAGAGAGAAAGAATGAGAGAATGAGAGAATAGGAGATAACAGGGTGAGAGAGAATGTGAAAGAGAAATGCCATGGGGGGGGGGGGGAAGAGAGACAGGAATGGCAAGTAAGATCATCAGCAGAGACAGATCAAATGATCTTTATCTGTCCACCTCATGGTTCAATAAGGCAGTGTTTCTCAACCCGGTCCTTGGAATAAACATGGAGCGTCTCGGGGTCCCTGAGGACCAGATTGAGGAACACTGCCCTAAGGAATGTGTTCAAGCTATAACTGATCTAACCTGGAACATGCTGCAGCTGAATCAATTTTTGTGCCACCAGCATAAAAGTGAGGTCCAGTGGGGAGCCAGTGAACCTTCACCCACTGCAGCTCACCCCACAAGGTTAAATAGACCCAAACGAAATGTAACAAGCATCCTCCGCTGGAGAGGTCTATTAATTCCACCTAGATAAACCACATGCCAGTGGGGTACTTAATGCTTATGAAAAAAAACAAAATTGGTTAGAGAGCAGTCAACAGACTTAGTATTTAAAGCCTAATATGAGATGTTATCTGAATTGTCTTTGAAACCATGATCATCCAACACCAAAACTCATAACTTCTCTACCACCATTATCATCATTTCCAATCTCTGGCATCTGACACAAAAACGAGAACCAGTAATAATATTCACCACACCCATGGCTGGAATGGGGCTTCAGACTCCAAGTTAATCTAGTAAAAACTTCTACATCCTTTTAGGCTTGTACGTAAAATATGAAGGAGAGAACACAAAAGTGTTCAAAAAAAATAAACACATTGGTTACGGTTATTTCAGGATCATTCTGGGATGTTTCAGAAGACTTGCAATAACAGAGGGGCATCAAATATCGAGGGGGAGGGCACATACATATTTGAGGTTCCCTGGTGAAATACTCTATTCAGAAAGATCACATGTTGAGTAAGAATGCATAACCAAACAGATCTAAGTCACACAAATCCACATGAAAGAGGAGATGGGGGTGGAGGGGGGGGGGAACCACCCACGGCCCACCACCCAGGGACTGGGAACTCGTATGACATGCTAAGTGAGGCAATACCCTAAGACCCGGCAATATAGATGCCAGGCAGGAGGTCCTGGCAGGGCTCTGAGTCAGGCAATGTGGGAGGGGAGAAGAATACATTAAAGTAATAGATGAGGTTTCTTTCCCCTGATAGGACAGCTGACAGCTGTTAAACAAGCACAATGCTTCATCTTCCCAATGAATGGGTCTCAAAAAATATAAATAACAATGATGCCACGCAAGCCGGCTTGGGATTATAAAGACTTTCCCCGCTAAAATGCCACCCACCAACCACAAACAGGGCGAGTTTAGGGCTCCGCTCTGCCCGTGTTCATGTTTGGGTGTGCCCTGAGAGATAGTGCCTTGCCAGTTGGGCTTTTGGTCAGGTTTAAACAACCAAAGAGCGAATGTGTTTCAGAAAGAGGGCCAGCTCTCGATGGCAAGCAGCCTCGGGAAATGAGAAAGGGAAGCCAACAGCAGACGGAGGCCCAGTGACAGCCGGCTTCCTTCTGGCGAGGCCCTCGCAGGGCACCTGCTAGTTAGGCCCAAAAGCGTGACACGCAGGGCCGCGGGGGCCGGCAGGCGAGGCTGCGCGTGACCCAAGACGGCAGAACCACGACGGAAGTAGGTATGAAATACAACTAGGATGTATAAAGTGTAGGAATACACATTTATCTGTCACACATGCACAATGTAAATATCAATCGAACTGTGTGTGACCATTGTCTTTTTGTGTGTGTGTTATGTGTATATTACATTGTGGGGACCCCACCTGTGAATGCAATAAAAAAAAAGTAAAAATGCTTATGTTTAAGGTTAGAGATGGGTAGGGGTTAAGGTCATCATGCTGGGATTAGAGTTTTCCCTATAGAAGTGAATGGAGAGTCCCCACAAAGATATCATTATAAACTTGTGTGTGTGTGTATATGTGTATGCGCGCCAAATATCACTCTGGTTTCCATGGCATCAGACCTCCAGGCCTGATCCAGACAAATGGGACAAACATTTAGAAAAAAATTCTGATGAGAAAATAACGAAGAAAAATTAAGACAAAAAAACATATCTGTGACAGCTGAAGCGGTAGGTATAGCCGTGCACAGTGGACCGGTCCGCATCAGCAGCGTCCCAGGGGAAGGACACGGAGCAGTTAAACGATGGAGCTCTAAAGGCGAGCTTTACTTAAGGTCCCTGGAGGCCCTGTGCAGGGAAGGGACCGGCTCCCCATGATTGCCGCACAGTTGGATTGTTCGCAACAAAGGGCAGCCTGATCTCCTGCCAACGCGAGAGGCGAGAGGAAGGTGGACCGATTGCTGAAAGGGGGGGGGGTGTTACCCAGGCAGGCCTGCTTGGCACTGTGCGGGCAGCGGTCCTGGCCAAAAGGAAGGCAGTATCTGGCTGGCCCAGGAGAGCTCTTAAACCTCCGTGAAGAGACCATGCCATAGACATGACTGAGACCACAGCAAAAGGCCCTGTCTAGGTTTAGCGCAAGTGCAGCTACTCTGAGGACACTTACCACATGTTACTTATAAGAGAAAGGGAACACGGTGTACTTCCTTAAAAAAAACACACAACTGATTCCTAACACACAGTCCTGTGCACTCCTAACCTCCTCACAACTAGGACAAGAGAAATCGTAACACCACAACTGCTGATCAGACGCTGTTGAATGTGCCAAGATCGAGACTGAAATTAAGGCGTGATTGAACCTTTTCAGCAGCATCTAAACTGTGGAATACCTTACCTCTTCACATAAGGACAGCACCTATATTAGCTACTTTTAAATCACTACTCCAAACACATTTTTATTCCTTTTAATTCGCTTTGATTTTTGTGGTTGTCTTTAGTTTCATTTTTATTAATTAACTCATGTCTTTTTTTTGCCTTTTTAATCAAATGCATTTATTGATTTCTATGCGATATAGCACTGTGGTCAACGTGTTGTTTTAAAAGTGATTCATAAAGTTGACACCGACAACTACATCTCGGTTTCAAATGTAGTCATTAAATAATACCAGGCCATGCCCAAATATAAACCATAAGCATTCTGTTTGCTATATATGCAGTATTTTATACATAAAAACATAGTCACATGTTCAACGACATCACTGCTGTAATAAAAAGTCGACTGAGTACCAGGGTGGACGTGATCTCTTTGTTTTCATCGAAGTGCCATGAAAGGCTTCCCTGTGTGGCACGCTGATGGCTCTCAGCGCTGGAACACGAGTGTCCCGGGAAAGAGCGATGCGGAGACTGGGGGCCAGACGTGGGGGCCAGACGTGGGGGCCAGACGTGGCAGCGGGTGGCACTTACCATCACAGGTGAAGGTGACAGGTTCCAGGGAGTCGGAGATTTCGATGGAGACCTTCACGCTGCTGCCGTTGTCGCTGTTCAGCTCCCGCTGCGGGATCACCGGGCTCAGCACACACCCGGGGTTGGTGACCAGGTCCTCGTGCCGGAACGTGTGCCTCAGGCTGGAGTCAAACACATATCACAGAAAGGCACGTTATCTTAATGAGAACATTCCAGAAAGATTCACAGCAAGGGGGTTACAATTTATAAGAGTACAACTACTGGTTAATGCATGGGTGTAAATAATCAGGACTGGCCAATACACCCCCCCCCCCAAGTAATCATATTGTCATGATGAATGGGTGGGGACCTCAACCCCCCCAATGTTCAGTACAAAGTGACACCCTTAGGTTAATATGATTGGCATACAGTACTGTGCAAAAGCCTTAAGCAGTCAAAAAAAAATATATGATCATGTTGAAAAATGAAGAAAATGATCTTCATGTTGGTGTAAAACTATGATATCATGCCTGTCAAAATCTGTCCATTTCAAACCTCCCCCAAAGCCCCAGGTCAGTGTTTGCAGCAAAGGCCCAAAACACCCATATATTTTTTGACTAGTCCACTACCCGACTTCGTATGGCCAATCAATACGTCACTACCTTTTAAATCTAATTTAATTAATTAAAAGAATGAGATCACAGATATAAGCGGCTGAAATGAGTTTCCTTCACGGAGTGTCTGGGCTCAGCCTTAGAGGCAGGGTGAGGAGCTCGGACATTCGGGAGGGACTCAAAATCACTGTCAGAGTCACTGCTCCTCTGCATCGAAAGGAGTCAGTTGAGGGAGGTCTGGGCATCTATCTAGGAAGCCTCCTGGACACACTGGAGAGACTATGTCTCTCGGCTGGCCTGGGAACACCTCGGTATTCCCCTGGTGGAGCTGGAGGAGGTGGCTGGGGAGAGGGAGGTCTGGGCATCCCTGCTTAGACTGCTGACCCCGCGGATAAGTGGCAGAAAAATGGATGGATGGATGGAATAAATGTAATGAATACACAGAATGGCTGAGGTGTCCCTGAGGAGAGGTTAAGGAGGGGGTGTTCATCTAGCCATCCAACAAGATCAGAGACTTTTTGGAAAACAGAAGAAATTCCTGTTAGATTGTATTGTGTTACTGTTCATTTGCATCTGATATTAAATTGTTTTTTTCTAACCATATATACACTGACATCCTTGGTAAACAGTTTTAAACATTTCCTTTGACCACCTATAGATAGATAGTCAGATTATATCTATCAATCTCACTCTATACACACACACACACA